ATCTTTTAGAGATACAGGTTTCTATGCTCAAATAAACGAAAATATGGAAGAATAAATGTTTTATGGAAAAGGAGCAGGCTGTGAACATATCTTGGGTAAATGTGATTCTACTAAAAGAGAATTTTGTAATCCTAAAACTGACTAGGGATTATGTGATTATTACCACCACGGATATTCTATTTGTAAAGTTCGCACATTTAATGATTCTGATTGCAATACCTTAATTACCTACCCAAATACAAAATGTTGGGATGTTAATAGTAACTAGAACACACAAAGAGCTTAACAATCATAAGGAGTTAAATATGGGATTGATTCAAGATGTTTCAACGGGAATATATCGGCTTAACACTTACCATAAATGACAATAACTATAGGTAATTGCTATAGATATGAATGCGATGCTACGAAAAAATAAGTGAATATTTGGGTAGGATAAATTAAGCGAACTTGTAAATAAAATTTAGAGAAATTGTCATTTTAAGGATATTCTGGGTAACTATAATGTCCAGCAAATATATCTGATTTTTGTGGGTTTAAAAAAATATGTCCGGGTATATGTAGTGCATATGGATATTGCTTAAATAATAAGTGTTATTGTGCTAGAGGATTCAGTGGAATAGATTGCTCTGTTAAAGGAGCCTCTTGAAACATATTAATATTTATCTATTATTTAAGATAATTAAAATTAATACTTAATAATTTTTATAAAATATAAATATTTATTTAATTTAAATACATAATTTGATATTATTGTATATTAATTAACAATTTTTATTAGAATTTTAAAAAGATATTTAATTTTATTTTATAAAATAATTTACAAATATTTATATAAATAAAAAAATAGATGTAAATTAAATAAATTATTTATAAATATTTAAAATAAATAATAAATATATATAAAAAAATAATTATTAAATAAAAAAAAATTAATTTAAATATTTTAACATATATATTATATGATAATATTCATATATATATTTATTGATATTATGTAAAAATTTATATTTATATATTTAAAGATAAAAATATAATTTAATACATTGTAATATAGATATTATTAATAATATTAAATTATATTAACTCAAAAAAATTTAAAAAAAATTTTATATGTTAATACTTCAATTTAAAAAATTTTATATTAATAAAATTTAAGAATTTTTTTTTATTTTAAAATATTTTTATAGTTTATTTTATATATAAATAAAAAAAATATAATATTAAATAATAAAATTATAAATTAAAATAATTATTGAATAATTTTATATATATTTTATATTATTTATTAATATATATTTATATATTTATATATTTATATATTTTTATATTTATATATTTATATATTTTTATTTTATTTTAATATTTTATATTTAATCTAATTTATATTTAAATCTTTTTTGAATATATTTTTTAATAATAAAATACATATTATTTTATTACTTTTTTATTTTACATTAATAATAAAATTAAAGCACCTATATAAATTTAATATTATTTCAATAATTTTATTATTTTTATTATTTTTTTAAAAAAAAAATATATATAATTTTATATCTTTTTTATCATAATTTTTATTTTTTAGAGCAATCTTCTCCACTGAATCCTTTAATACAATAACATTTATTTTTTTAACAAAATCCTTTTCCACTACAGAAATTTGGACATATTTTTTTAAACCCACAAAATTCTTATATATTTTCCGGACATTCTATATATCCTTAATAATTTTAAACTGTCATTTTTTCTTTATTATTTCTACAAACTATTTTTTCTTTTTATATATGTATAGTGACTTATTATCCATTTGCATTGCATTCATATTTAAAGCAATAACCCACCATTCTTTCATTTTTTTTTTATATTTTTTTAGAAAGCAAGTTTGAGTTAAAACATCTCGAATCAGTCCCAATGTAAATTCCATTTCTTTCAATAAATTAATTTTAGTTCAAATCACTATTAACATCCCAGCATTTATATTCTGGTTTGGTATATAAATTATTGCAACCAGGATCATTAAATTAACTAGTTGTACATGTAGCAAGACCATTGTGGTAAAAATCGCATAATTTCTCGTCAGTTTTAGGATCACAGAATTCTCTTGTTGAAGTTCTACATTAACTAAGAACGTGTTCACAGCCTTTTCCTTTTCCATAGAACATTTATTCTTCCATAGATTCGTCTATTTAAGCATAAAAACCTGTATCTCTTAAAAGATTAGTTGTAAAACCACTAAAATAAGCTTAAGTCATTGATACAGATGCATTCATGTATTCGTTTTGGATAATTGTGTTTTCCCAATGAGAATTTTTAGAACTTTAATTTCCTAAATTTTAAAGAGGCATACCAGGTAAGGTAGGACAATTGAAATATTTACGAGCAAATTCCAAAACATGAGGAGTTATAAGCAACAAAGTATCGATTCCCCTTATTTTTTATGTAATAGTAGGTTTACTATATGGAGTTCCTTTAGAATTTATCCATTTAGGCATATCATCATCGCTAAAACCTAATATATGAGTAATTTCATGGATAATTATTTCAATTAAATTTTTGTATTCAATATAATCAGTCAATTCTATATTTACTATTTCAGCAAAATTGAAGTTAATCAAACCATGAGAAGGTCCTTGACCATCCAAAAATTAACACCAAGTTGCAGAGGCATAATACTACGAATCAAGATCCATTTCATATTATATATATAAATGTAAATCAGAATTCTTTCCATTAGTTTTGTCTATTTAAGGAACTACAACATTTCCACATTTGGAAGATTTATATCTCATATTTACTTCAGATTTTGGAATTATTTTTATTAAACGAGAAAAATAATCAATTGCCAATTATAGGGCATTCTCGCATAAGCCAATTAATTATTTATTACTATCATGAGAAGGTAATCTTGAAAAATAAGACATGTCATAGGTTATTACCATATTACGGGGAGTTTTATTTTATAAATTACGGATATCTAAAGATTCCATATCAGGTGGTATCGATTTGTATTTGTATTTTTATTTCATTTAATCGTGAACACATTTATGTTTAAGAAGTCTAAAACTGATAATACAGGATATTAGATATAGAATTATAAGGAATTATTTCATTTTTTTGTATTATATTAATTTTAAATATTATTTAAAAATTATTAATTTAATTAATTGATTTATATTATATTAGAATAATTTTGTTGGCATAAAAATAATATTATTTTAGATTAAATAGAAAATTAATTATTTACAATATTTTTAAAATTATATAAAGTAAATTAAATTTTTATCACATATTTTTTTTTATTTAAATAAAATAAAAAAAATGTATTATAATTAAATGTAAAATATAAAATAAATATATGTTTTTTATTCAAATAATTAATAATAATTAAAATTATATATAAATATAAAAAACAATATGGTTTTTATTTGATTAAAGAATTTTAGAATAATTAAGTTATAATATATTTTCTTCTATAAATAAAAATAGACATAATGTTTATAATTATAATAAATTAAATTATAAATAATATTAATATAATAAAAAAAATATAGAAATAAAAATATTAAATATAAATATAATTTAAATACATAAAGTAAAAAAATAAATATATAATAAATTAAAATTTATAAAATAAAATAAATAAAAATTATAGTAATATTTAAATTTTATTATAAATATTTATATATTTAATTTTTTTTGCAATATACAAAATTCTATTTAATATTATTAAAAATAGAATTCCTTATATAAATTATAATTACAAAATATTGTATAAAATTTTTATAACATATATTATTTTATTAAAAATAATATATATTAAACAAAAATTATATATATATATATATATATATATATATATTACATTATATTTAATTTTAATTAATATTATTAACTTTTTTATTATTTATTATTTTAAATAAATATTTTAATTTTAATTTTAATTTCTATTAAATATATTTTACCAAAAATAATATACATAATCTATGATAATAAATTACTATTAATAAAATAATAATGAATGTATTAAAAATAATTATTTCAATATTCAATTATTTTTATTATTAATTAAAATCTTAATAGTAATATACTTGTAAAATTATATTAAAACATTATTTTTATAAAATATAAATTAAAAAATTAACAAAAAATGTAAAAACTTTTAATATATATAGTATTAATAAATTTTGTTTCGCTCTAAAAGTCCTTAAACTATAATGTGGTCATCATAAAATGAAAGAAACATATTCCTAATCCTATGAAGAATCTTCAGATATTCTTAATTTATAAACGAAAAAACCTAGTAATATTGTAATTACCTATAATATGAATTTTTCAAAACTTTAGCTGATTCTGTTATTAAACATTAGGACTCATATATTAGGTTTTAGCAATGATAATATACCAATATGGGTTAATTCTGATGGATAGCCTCATAATCTCGCTATTTTGAAAAATAAGTAAGTGACGTTAAAATTTAGTTTGCCTAATGTTTTTTGAAATTTCGCTAAAAAATATTACGAATATGAAAATTAGTTGCTATGCCTATTGAAAATAATAGAGGGAAAAAATCTGCAGGACCTCATTGGGAATTAACTGCTATTGCAGACGAACGCATGAATGCAAGTATATCACTTACTTAGGTCTATTTTAGTGGTTTTATAACCAATATTTTAAGAGATACAGGTTTCCATGCTGAAATAAACGAATCTATGGAAGAGTAAATGTTCTATGGAAAAGGAAAAGGCTGTAATTTCATCGTTGGTAAATGTGATTAAAAAATAGAGAATTTTGTAGCCCACCATGGATCTTCTAATTATAATTTTGGTTAATTTAAAGATTCTGATTATAATACTTCTGTAATACTTCTGTAATACTTCTAAAATTGATACTAATGGAAAATGTTGGAATACTAGTGGCCAATTAAATACATAAGAAAATTAGACTAAATATCGAATTAAACTTGGGATTAAATCAAAATGCTTTAATGTGACTTTATTAAATAAAAAACATTAACCATCTGATAAATTGTAGGGTAAATGTTATTAATATAAATTAATGTGATACTAATGAAAATTGGTTATTGAAGTAGGAAATTAAAAAGTCGTTTGTACTTAAAACTTAGTCTATTTCATGTACATATTTAATGTCCGTAAAATATATAAGAGTTTTGTGGGTTTAAAAAGTTTTTTCCAAATTAATTTAGTGCAAATGGATTTTGCTTAAAATAATAGTGTTATTGCGCCAAAGAATTCTAAGGAAATAACGATTAGTTAAAAAAATTATGAAAAAAAAAAATATTGTTTATATTTCTTTTTATAATTATTTTATTTTAATAGAAGAAACTAAAAAAAAATATTATATATTATTTGTATTTTAGATTTATAAAAACAATATATTTTCTTTTTAATATTTTATATATTAATAAAATATATTATAAAATTATATATAAAATTATATATAAAAAAATATTTATAGAAAAAAATACGAAAAATAAAAATACCATTAAAATAATAACTCAAATAAAAGTAATAAAAAATAGTTTCATATTTTAAAAAGAATTTTTTAATTATATAAAAAAAATATTAAAATTATATTATAATATAATTATATTATAAAAATTTATGTTAATAAAAGAAATTAAAATAATTTATATACTTTAAAAAATCATTTTTTATTTAATAATCTCCCTAAAAAATCTTTAAAAAAAATTCACTTCTTAAATTTCACACAAAACAAGAATCATATACATTCAATAAAAATTATAAAATAAAGATATTTTTATATAAAAAACAAATATATAGAATAAAATTAATATTTATAAACAACTAGTTTTAATTTCGAATTAATGTATTAAAAATCAAATAAAATATCGAATATTGATTACAAAAACATGTAGTATAAAAGACAATAATTACTATAAAAACCCATAAAAAAAAAAAACATTTTCATTAATAAATAAATACTAACATAAATTTCTTTAATATATAAAATATCTTAATAAATCCTAATAAATCAAATTATAGTCTAAAAAAATAAAATTATATTTGGTAAAATAAAAAATGGATTTTTTTTTTTTTTCAAATAATAAAAGTCACTATTTTTCATACTAATATTTTTTTTTTAAAAAAAAATATAATATTTTAATCAAAAAACAAATGATTAAGTTTTTTTCATTAAAAATGTAAAGGAAAATCTTGAAAAAATTTAAGTTTAAACAACATTATTTTTATTTTGTTAATTTTTCAAAATCATAATCCTTAATGGAACTTATTTTTCCAAAAAAACATATTAATATTTTTTACTAATTTGACGGAATTTATTGGATTTAGAAAAAAAGAAGAAATTAAAAGTATTTATTTTATCAATTAATAGACTATTTTTTAATGATTTTCATATAAAAATATAAAATAAGTATATTTTTCAATTATTTAGATATAAATGGGAGAAAAAATTTATTAATAACGAAAAAAGTCTGTTATAAAAAAAATACTTTTTTATGAAAAAATAACATTCTATGAGTAAATTTAAATTTTAAAGTAATTAATTTACTTGTTTAATTATAAGGATGTAAAATAATTTAATTGTAAGGTTTTTTTAAATATTTATGAGTTTTTTTAAGAAGAAAAAATTTAATAAAAATATGAGAACAAGAAATATAAATTATATTAAAAATTAATATATGTAAAAGAAAAAAAAAAAAATTTAAATAAAAAATATTAAAAAGAATATTTCAAAAAATAAAAAGTATATAGTATAAATTGTAGATTTAAACATATATATTAATTATAAAAATAAAAAATTTAATAAATATAAAATATTAAAACTATATATATATAAATATATATATTAATTTTAATATATTATATAAAAAATATTATTTATATAATTTAAATAATATGATATTTTATATTAATATAATTCCTATTTATTATATTTTGATTTTTCATTTTAATTTGTGTATTAAATTACATTGTTAATAAATATTATATAAATATAATAGATTATTATTTAACATTTTAATGGTTCGTAAATAGATTATACATTAAGATTAATTATATATTAAAAAATATATAATATAATTTATATATAAAAAAATTTAAATATATTATTAACTTTTATTTCTTAAACGTTTTTTTTAATATTAAAATATAATATTATCTATTATTTTTGAAATTTATATTATATAATTGATAAATTAATATTATTTTTATATTTATAATACTTCTGAAATTTTTTTAATATTGGTAAAGTTTTATTATTTAACTTTTATTATAAAAAAATGATATAAGCATTTCATCTAAATAATTTTTTTTTTTTTGTTATTTAATATTTAATAATGAAAATATTATTATAATATATTTCTTTATATTTTTATTTTTTTATTATATTATTTTTATTTAAATAAAAATATTTATTAGATTTTACAAATTAAAATTATATTTTGCCGTCTATAAAAAAAGTGTTTTAATATTTAATAATGTATATATAATACAATTTTTATTTTTTATATATTAATTTATTATATTTATGCAATTATTATTAATTAATTAATTTTTTTATTTAAAAAAAAATAAAATTATTTTTTAAATTTAAAACTATTATTATTATAAAATTAGTACAAATTATTATTAATTCAAATTATAAAAAGTATTATTTAGAATTGTCTAATTTAATATTTATCTTACTTTATATAAAGCTAAATATTTTTTAAAACTTTTAAAATTAATGCTTACAATTATAATTAAGAAATAATTAGTTTTTAGATTAAATTATTTAATAAATTTTAAAGAATTTCTAATATAAAGTTTATACTTTTATATCGATACATATTAAATGTTTCAAAATTTATAAAAGAATATTTTAATTTTATATATTTATATTATCTATTTAATAATTAATATATATATATACAAAATATTATAATTATTTAATTTTTTACAATACAAATATACATTACATATATGGTTTTATTATTTCTTTAATATTTATAATTTCTTTGTAAAATATATAATGAAAAATTCTTATATTACATTTTTTTTAAATCAAATATTTATGAATAATCATTTTTTGAAAATTTATTTATTAATATTTTTTTTTTCATATATATATATTTAATATTATCATATTTTAATTGATCTATTTATTTTTTATTTTACACAAATTTGCGTTAAATATTAAAACTAAATTTTTTTAAATTATAATAAAAATATATTTATCATTAAATATAAAAATCTTAAAAAATATTTATAATAAATAATACATATTAATAATAACAAATATTAAAATAATAAATGAAAATATTAATAATATATATATTTTAATTAACCTGTATTTTTGGTTTATATGTGCTCTAACACTAATGTGTCAATGATTAAATGGAAAAAATCTATCCATACAAAATAATTTCTTCTAATGATGATTATACAGATTTCCGTAATTTAGAACCTAAAATGTCCCGTAAGATGATTATAACTTACGATATGTCCTATTTCTCAAATTTACCTAAAAATCCTAAAAATAAATAGATAATCGATACTTGTGAGAAAGCTTTAAAAATAGCATTTGATTATTTTTCCAATCTAATAAAAATAGTTCCAAAATCTGAAAAACAAATGAGATTTAATTCCGATCTTGACAAATGTGGAGAAGTTACAATTCCTAAAATAGACAGAGATAAGGGAAAAGATTCTGATTTACATATATATGCATAATATCTAAATAATAAATAATTATCTTTTGTAGCCTTTGCTAGTAATTGTTAATTTGTGTATCGTGTAGGACCTTCTCATGGTTAAATTACTTTTAATTTGGGTTAATTAGAAGAAAAAGATTTAAGTTAAAAATATATATTTTAAGATATATTAGAAATAATTATCCATGAAATGACTCATGTTTTGGGTTTTACACAACACTCTATACCTTTATGGATATAATCAGATAAAAGTTCTTATGCTGAACCTACTTTCAGATAAACGTTAAGGGGAATCGATACTTTATTTCTCAAAACTCCTCACGTTTTATAGTTTGCTCGAAAATATTTTAATTGCCCTAGCTTAGCTGGTGTGCCTCTTGAAAATTTAGGAGGCCCAGGTTCTGTAAACTCACATTGGAAAAACACAGTAATCAATAGTGAATATATGAATTCATATTAATAACCTTTATAGTCATATTTTAGTGGTTTTACAGCCAATGCTTTAAGAGACACTGGCTTCTATGAGGAGATAAAAGAATCTATGGAAGAAGAAATGTTCTATGGGAAAGGAGCAGGCTGTCAACATGTCACTGGTTAATGTGATTCTAATAGAAATGAATTTTGTATTCCTTCAATTGAAAAAGATTTTTGTGATTTCTCCCATATCGGAGCTTCAAATTGTATTGCTGGTTAATTTAATGAGCCTAATTGTTATACATTTTAAATTTATTTATATAAAGAATGCTGGAATATTTAAAATATGAAACACTCAGAATAACCAGAATAAGTGTATGGAATTTAATATGGAGTAGATTCCAAATGTTTTAACTCTTCTTTAATAAAAGATGAATTTTATGTGGAAAATCCAAGAATTTAAGGTTTATGCTATAAATATAATTGTAGTTCTAACGGATAATAAGTGACTATTCATGTAGGAAAATAAAAAGTAGTTTGCAAAAAAAATTTTGAACATATGCGAGTTAAGGAATATGATGGACATATTGTATGTCCTAAAAATATAGAGTAGTTTTGCAAATTTAAAAAAATTTGTCCGAATTTCTGTAGTTCAAACGGATATTGTTTACAAAATAAGTGTGTTTGTAGTAAAGGATACTTTGGAAATGATTGCAGTTTAAAAAATCCTTTATGAGAAAGATTACTGTTTTTTTGTTATTATTTTTAGCATATTATAAGCATAATTTTTTAATATTTATATTTAATGTTTTTTTGTTAAGAATTTAAGTTCTAATTTTTAATTTTATTTTTTTAAAAAATAAGAATATAATGAAAATAATATTAATTAAAATTTATATAATAATTTATTCATTTTTTAGATTTATTTTTTTATTATAATAATTAATTGAAAAAATTAATACTATTTTAAAAATAAATACATATATAAAGATATTTATATAATTTAAAAAATGTATAATTTTTTTGTTTATGGCCTGAATCTATAGTTCTATAAAAAACCTAAAAAAAAAGACAGAAAATATATAATATATAAATTATCAAAACTTTTACAGCTTATTTAAATTAATATTTATTTATATTTTTATTATAAACTTTAATAAAATTATAATGTTGATTATTTATTATTTTAATAAAATAATAAAAATTTAATTAATTTATTAGAAAAATTGTTTAATTTTTTGAAAAATTTAAGAAGATATTAATATAAAATATAAAGATATCAGTTTTTATATTTTTAATAATTAATAAATATATAAAAATAATAAATTATAAATAAAGAATATAATTTTTAAGAATTAATTCTAGATTAAAATTGATTGAAAAATCAGAAGACAAATGAAATAAATTTTGAATAAATTTAAAAAATAAAAAATTAAAAAAATTATATAATATAATATAAAAAAATAAAAAAAAATTGAATGTAAATCTATAAAATTATAAATATATAAAAAAATAAAAGAATATATATAAATATATAAAAATATTTATAAAAATATTTATTAATATATAAAATATATATATATATATATATATTTTTTTTTTATTATTTTTTAAATTATTTATATATCTATATATCTTTTTTTTATTTTATTTTAATATAAATAAAAAATTTATTAATTTATAATAATTTTATAGATATATTTTTTTCTAATATATTATATTTATATGTTATTAAAACAATTAGCAATTGCAAAATTTTTTTTTTTTTTTTTATATAATCTTCATTATTTTAATTATTTTATAATTATTAAGTTATGTTTTTTTCATATTAATTTATCTATTAATTACATATTTTTTTTTAAATTATTTCTTTACATAAAAACTATTAAATATTTATAAAAAAAAAAATCTTATTTTTTTTAAAGAAAATATATAAGTATTTAAAAAACATTATTATTATTTATAAAATAAACATAGTATTTTAAATAAATAAATTTAATTATCTTAAATATTATATAAGCTCCAAAATTTTTATAGAAATCCATATATATATATAAATGTATTTTATCTATATATAATTAAAATCCTTTTACTTTTATTTTTAAATTATTATTAATTAGCATATAATATAAACTAATTTTAAATCTAAAAATATATGAACAAATATATATATAAAAGGATTTTTTCTTAAATATTTATTTTTTCATTATATAATATATTAATTACATATAACTAACTTTTACATATTTAACGAAATTATTAATTTTGAAATTATTATTTTTTATAAGTTTTTAATACATTAAATTATAAATAATTTTTTATTGAAAGTAATAATTTAATATTAATTTATGTAAAAAATAAGATATTTATATATCATAATATATAAAATAACTCAGACAGACATAATGGAGTGATATTTCAGTTTGAAGTTTTAAATAAAATAAAAAATACTTTAATATTTATAAAAAAAAAAAAAGTATTAGTAAATATTATAGGCATTTATATTCAATTATTTATATTTGAAATAACTATAAAATTGATTAATTAAATATATATTTTTTTAAATGGAATAAATAATTAAGATTATCATTTGTGTATATAAAAATTAAAAATTTTAGAAAGATATGCTAAGCTTTATTTAGAATATATTATAATATAGAAAAAAAAAAGAAAAAAAAAAATATATATATATATATATATTTATTTTTATATTTTTATATTTTTATATTTTTATATTTTTATGTTTTTATTTTTTTTTATTTTTATATTTTTATATTTTTATATATTTATATTTTTATATTTTTATTTTTTTATATTCAAAAATATTTATTTATAATTTATTAAAAAGTTATGATTTTATTTATTTAAGATATATACTTTTATACTTTATTAAAAAAAAAACACATTATTTATTATTAATAATATTTTATTGAATATATCTATATTAAACAATAAATTTTTAATAAATTATATATATCTATAATATATACATATTTTTTATACAATTTATCCTAAAATCAAATTATCAAATTTTTACTTTTTTTGCATAAAAAAATTAAAATAATCTATTTATATAAATAATATTTTCAATTCATTACATATTTACATTCTCTTGCAATATGACTAGGTCTACTACATTTATAGCAAAGTTCTAGTCCTTTATCTCTAAGCAGATATCTTTCTTCCGCTGTAGCATGATAATTTTTACTTATTTGCTTTCTAAACATACTAAATATCTAAAAATTAATATATAATTAAAAAAAGATTAAAAATTGACTTTTATCATTAAATCCTGATTCTCCTTATTATGTAGAACTAATTATTCTTCCATCTGCTCTAATTCCTATTTCTGTATTCATTTCATTTCCTTTTTATGAATATAACTCTTCCACTTCTTTTTAGATATTTCTTTTAGAAGATAATTATTTTTAAGGATTTTTTAATTCATATGTATCAAATCCTTATTTTTTCTCTAATTTTTTTATTTAAAAAAATAAAATAAAAATAAAAATAAAAATAAAAAAAATTATATTTATATATATATATAAATATAAATACTTTTCTATTTCTTATCTTTTTTTTCCATTATAATTTTTTAAGAAACTCTATCTACCTCAGTTTATTCATTATAAAACTTTAAGCATTGTTTTAAGAAGACTTTAATCTTTTTTATATATTAAATTAATTAAGGAGAATCTTTAATATTTAATTTATAGGTCTATATTTTTATACTATCGCATAATTTTCTAAAATTTTTTCGTTATAAAATTTTACGAATTCTATAATTAAATTACCTTTAAGAATTTCAGGATTTTTTACATTTAAACTTATTTCTAAATATGTAAAAACATATATATATAAAAAATATAGTTATATGTTTAGGTATATACATAAATTTAAAACAATATTTATATTAACTTGAGTAATAATCGCCTAATAATAAATATAGAAATATGTCTTAAAATATAATTATTATTAAGGTTGTTGTATTGATTACAATTATTCTCCTAAATCTTTTTCTTTTTTATTTCTTTCTTCTTTAGATTTTGTTAAATGCTATAGTTGATATTATTAAAATTATATTAAATTAGCATTAAAAACTAAATTATTTTAATTTAAAACCTTTTGTAAAATATATTTTTAAAAAATTATATTTATTATATTTTATTATATAGAAACTATATATTTTTAGTTTTGAATTAGAAAATATTACTAATAATTAAAATGTTATATATTATATATTTATTTATATTAAATCTTATATTAATTCAAATTTATATTCTTAAAAATAAGGATAATATAATGAATATTAAAAAAAAAAAAAAATTTAAATTAATAAAAATTTTTATGTTTTTAAATTTACATAGTTTTCAATTCATATTATTTATATTTTTTGAAAGTTTAATTAATTAAATCTTTTATATATAATAATAAATCAAATATATAAATTTAAAAATTTAAAAGGTAATATATTAAAAAAAAAAAAAACAAATTTTTAAATTAAATAAAAACAAAGAATTCTAATATTTATTATATTTAAATATATTATAATATATATATATAAATATATATATATGTATATATATATATACTGTAATTTTTATATATTTAAATACAAATTAATTTATTCATATTTATAATTTTTATATTTATAATATTTATATAATATAAATATAACCATTAATTTTTTTATATATTTTTAATGAATTTTTTTATATTTATAACTGTTTTTAATATATATAAAGCTTCAATCTTCTTTTTTAATTTTTTTTTTGTATATAAATTATTAAAGCCAGCTATAAATTAGCTTAAAAATTTTTTTAAATATTTATTAATATATATTTTCTTTTCATTAAACATAATGAACTTTATATTATTAAATTATATAATGTTATTAATATTTATAAATTTGAATTTATTATATATACATTTAGATAGTATTTTAAATATTTTTATTTTATCTTTTTAAATTTTTTTTTAATTTAAATTATATTTATTAAAGTATTAGAATTATATCTAAGTAGAATTGCCTTAAAATTATAATCTAGAGTATTAAATAATATCTTTTTTAATGTTTAAATTATTAACTTTTATTTTAATCCTTTATTTAAAGTTTATTTAAATTATATATGATTTTAATATTCTTAATAAATGATTTTTTTAAAATTTTCTTTTTTTTTATTATTAATTTTCATATTTTTTTTTAAAAAAAAATATATATATATAGATATATAATATATCTTTTAATAGATACAGGTTTTTATGCTCAAATAAACGAAAATATAAAAGAATTAATTTTTATGGAAAAGGAGTAAAATATGGGATTGATATGAAACGCATCAACGGGAATATATCGGCTTAACAATTAACAAAAATGAAAATAACTATACTTAATTGCTATTAATATTTGTGAATTCCTAATAAATTATTGATGAATATTTGGGTAGGATAAGTTAAATAAACTTGTAGGTAAAATATACAGATATTGAAATTTAAAAGATATATATACAGGATATCAATAATATCAAACAAATTGTCTGATTTTTTTGGGTTTAAATAATATGTCCGGGTATCTGTAATGCAAATGGAAATTGCTTAAATAATAAATTTTATTATGCAAAAGGATTCACTAAAACATATTGAAATATTAAATAGTATCTTGAAATTTTTTATTATTTTAGAAATAAGAAAAAGCATTTTAAATTTTTAAATTAATTAATATTTTTATATTCAAATATATTTACAAAGATATATTATTTTAGTTTTTATCAAAAAAATATATATAATAAAAATATTTAAAAATTAATAAATATATGTGATAACTTAAAAAATAATATTAAAAATTTTTCGAAAATAAATTATAATTATAAAAATATTTAATAATGTATTTCTTATAAAATTAATTAAATATAAAATATATATAATATTAGTATTAATAAAATTAACAAAATTTTTATTATATATTATTAAATTATATAAAAATATATTTTAATTTATAATAATATATATATATATATATATTTATATATAAATATTTATTTATATACTTATTATATTAAAAAAAGTTATTTTACATCTTACATATTCTTTTTATTAATTAATTTATTAACTGGATTTTTAACTCAATGAATTTATATATTTTATATTTTTTTACATTTTAATCTAATGCTGAAATATGTATTAAATTGTATAATTTTAAATAGTAAAATTTTATTTCAAAAAATTAATTGAAATGAAATTAACTATTATATAATTATATTTTTTTTTAGAACAATGGTTTATTTCTTATTTTTTTTAATTTTACTACTTCTATATAATTAAGTATTATGCTTAAAAAAAATTAATTTTAAATTTATTATTTAACCATTTTTTTTTTCATAATTTTAAATCTAATATATTAGTTTTTCAGATAATTTCTTTTATTTAAAAAATAATAAATTTTATATATTTAAATTAGATGCTTATATTTTTTAAAAAATGCATATGTAATAAATAAAATATATTAATATTTTTTATTTTCTAATAATAATAAATAAAAACATAAAAACTCTAATAATTTTTTTTCAAACAGGTATATTACTATAGCAATCTGGTCCATAGAATCCTTTAATACAAATACATTTATTGTTTATGCAAAATCCGTTTGCACTACAAAAATTGGGACAGAATCTTTTATATCCACAAAACTTGTGTATATTATCCGGACATACAATATATCCACTATATCCTTTAACTGACAACTGTTATAAATTTTTCTAGCAAAGGACTTTCTATCCTCCTACTAAAACAACCACTTATTATCCATTAGGAGTACATTAAAATTAATAGCAATAACCCTTAGGTATAGTTTCTGGTTAATATCCTAGCTTCAATATAGTCGATGGAAAGCATCTTGAACTAATCCCAAATTTAGTTCCAAGCAAAAGAGCATTATTTTATGTGTTCAAATTACTTTTAATATCCCAGCATTTTGAATTAGAATAAGTACTTAAAGTATTACAACCTCGATCCATATATTTTCCAGCTTCACAAGTAGAAGATCCATGATTGTAATAATCACATTATCCATCATCGATTCTAGGGCGACAATATTCTTTTCTGGTTGAATCACATGTACCAAATACATGATTACAACCTTATCCTAGTCCATAGAATGTTTATTCTTCCATAGAAGAGCTAACTTCATAAAAGAATCCTGTGTCTCTTAAAAGATTAGTTGTAAAAGCACTATAATAGGCCTATGTTGGTGATTAAGCTGCATTCATGTATTCATTTTGGATGACTGTGGTTTCCCAATGTGATCCTGCAGAACCTTAACCTCCATTATTTTCAAGAGGCATACCAGCTAAGTTAGGACAATTGAAATATTTTCGAGCATAGTTCAAAACGTGAGGAGTTTACACTACTAAAAAAGGAGTTCCTCTTGCAATTATTGTATTAGAAGGTTTAGCATAAGGACGTCCCTATTAATCTACCCATCTAGGTATATCATTATCGCTAAAACCTAATATATGAGTCATTTCATGGATAACTATTTCCATTAAATCTTCAAATTCAACAGGATCTTACATATTTTTGGTTCCTAATATTCCTAAATTGAAATTAACTTAACCATGAGTAGGCCCTATACCATCTAAAAATTAACACCAAGAGGCATAGGCTAAATATGTTTCAGCTGGTTCAATTTTAAATTATGTATATATATGTAAATCAGAATTAATTCCTTAGTCTCTGTCGCTTTAAGGAATAGGATATTCACCGCATTTTGGATTATATTATCTATATCTCATATTTTATTCAGATTTTGGGATTATTTTTATTAAATTATTAAAATATTAACGAGCCAACAACATAGCTTTCGAGCAGGCATTAACTAAAACTTAAGCCTAATTAGTAGCAGCTAATTTTTAGAAAAAATTCATATCGAAAGATATTAACATATTACGCGGCTATATCCCTCCTAAATTACGGATATCTACAGGTTCTAAAGGAGCGAGTGCTTCATATTTATAGATTTAATTAATCTTGTTATGTATACAATTGTGTTAGAGAACTTTTAGACAGAAAATATAGTTCGTTAATAATATAATTATTAAAAGTTTTTTCATTTTTTTTATTTTTAATGACTATTTCTTTATTAATAATTATTATATTATTTTATTTATTTTTATTTCTGGTTATTATAGAAATGACTGAATATTGAATTTTATTTATGAATATTATAATAATTAAATAGATTTATATTTTAATGCAATATTTAGGATAGTTTTTTAATTATAATTCAAATCATATAATTTTTAACAATATAAAGAAAAAAAATAAAATATATTAATTTATATTTTATGAATAAATTAATTAAATAGAATAATTATTATCAAAAATATCTAAAAAAATTATTTTATTTATATTTAATAAAAGTATTCTATTATTATCTGTCATGTTTATTTTAAGGAGACAATAATTATAATTAAATTAAATTTAGTTTAATTAAATATATACAATATATGACATTTTATTTTCTAAAGATAAATATGTTAATTTAATATAAATAAAAAGAAATAAGTAAATAAAAGTATATAAAATAGAATATTTTTAGTAAAATTTTATTTTATATAAATAAAAAAAGATTAATTTTTTTAAATTTTAATTACGTAAAAATTATTATTTATAGATTTTGATTATTTATTATCACAAGTTTTTAATTTGTTATAAAAAATTAAATTATTACTATATAAATACTAAAAAAGAAAAATGAAGATTTAATAAATAAATTAATTTATATATTCAGTATAAATAATTTAAAAAAAAAACATATATAAATTTTTTTTTATTTCTTTTATAAATTAAAAATATATTATTATATCAAAAATAAAATATAAAATAAATTTTATTTAAAAATGAATTTGATAAATACTAATAATAAAAACTAAAATATATAATATATTCATTTTTTATTTATATATGATCATAAATAAATAATATATTTATCGATTATCAATCATAAATAAAATGTAATTTGATTTTATTTATAATAATATTAATAATAATTTTGAAAATATAAATTTAATTTATATGAATATTTATAAAAATAGATTTATTAATATATTGAAATTATTATTACTTTTTTTATTTTAAATTATTTAAAACAATTAAATAATAATTTAATTTATTCATTTTTTAAAAATTCAAAACCTTTATTTTATATATAATTTATTAATATTTCAATTTTAAATTATTTGATATTTTTTTAAATAAAAAAATGTTATGAAAAATAATATTATATATATAAATATATTTTATTTTTTCTATATATATATATATTTATAATAATTTTAATTGTTTTTTATTTGAAATATTTATAATATATTTACTTAAAATAATAAAAAATTATTAATATTAGATTTATTTTTTAAAATAATATAATTAAAATAAGTAAAAAATCAAAAATTATGTTCAAATGTAAATTTTATATTCTGTTTATATTAAAACATAAATACAATTATATAAATATATTTTTATTTTTTTTAAATAATTTTATTTTTTTTATTTTAAAAAATTTATAAAAAAAATAGATAATTTTTCTTTATATATATAAAAAATAAAAAATATTAATCAAAGTAAATAAAATCATAAAAAAAAATAACTTAAAATTTATATTAAAAATATTTAATAAATAAATATAAGATATAATAAAAAATACATTAAATTTCTTTTAATTATAAAATTATATTACCAAACTTTTTCTTAACATATATATTACGATTTAATATTATAAATATTAAATTATGGTTCATTTTCCATAATATTTCCATTAATAATAGGATTTTTTTAAAGAATAAATACTTTAATATAAATAAAAATTATGTTAAAAGTAAAAAATTATTAAAAATAAAATAAAATATACGATAATTTGTCTTTTAAAAGAAAAAAAATCGCAAATAAATATGAAAATTATATTCAATATATATATAAATTAATAATTAAACATATTATAATTAACATTTATTAAGCATAAATTATAAAGAAAATAGGGACAATAAAACAAATATATAGTTGTTTTATTTATATATTAAAATAATTAGATTAGCGAGCAGTAAATATAATAATTAAAAAAAAATATAAAAATAATTCTATAATTTTTTAAAGATAAATATGATTAAATTTTGTTTTTAAAAAAAAATATATATAAATATATAATTTTAATAATTATATTTGATATTTATAATAATCATATATGCTTTTATACTTAGTTTTTTACGATAAAGACTTATATTATATTATTATAAGATCAAATAAGGAGGTTTAAAATAAATAATTAAAGTATATTTTTTTTTCTTTTTTACTAATTATATTAAATCGGATAAATATAATTAAATTAATATACCTATATACATATAATATAATTTTTTTTTTAAAAAAAAAAATTAAAAAAAAATAATAATATATATAAATAAAAATTATCTATTCTAATAATAGTATAAATATTGATTTCTAGAATAGTTTAAATATATTATTAATATATATAAAGTATTTATTTTATATTATATAAATTAAAAATACAATAACTTTTAAAAAAAGTAATAAGTATATTATTATATAAAAAAATACATAAATAAAAGAATTTAATGAATATTTATAAAAATATATAATTCTGTGAAAATTTTTAATTATAAAATAAACAAAATAAAATAATATTAATACAATAAAATAAAAATTAAAAAATATATAAAAAAATATTTAATAAATAAATATATTTATTTATTAAAAAAAAATATATATAAAAAAAAAATAATATTAATTAAAAATAAAACAAGATATATAATATATATTAACTTTATAATAAATAAAAATAAATTATATATTAAAGAAATATAATAAATAAATATATATACATATATATATATATATATTTATATATATATAAATATTTATATATTTTTATTTTATATATTTATAAAAATTTTATATATATTTTTTCATATAAATAAAAAATAAATATTATAATAATTTAATTATTTAATTTTTTATTAATATTTATTATTTAAATATAATTATATATAAAACAAATATTAATAATATATAAATATTTATAAATTTCTATAAAATCTTAATTTTTTATTATATTTTATTTATATAATATATTTGTATATATTTAAATTAAAATATTGTTTAAATTTGTTGTTTTATATTTTAAATTTTTATTTATTAATAATATTTTTTATAATAATAATATAAATATAAATATATATATATAAATATTTTAATAATTTTTATTTTTTAATATATATATATAATTATAAAAATTACATATAAAAAAATGTTTTAAATTATAATATAATTTATTTTAAAATAAATTTATTTTATATTATATTTATTATTTAAATTTTTTTATAATTTTTTTTTTAATTAATCATACAATATAATATGCTACATTATTTTTAAAATTTAATACTATTTTATATTTAATAATATAAAATCATTTTTTTATATTATTTTATATCATTGCATAATTTTTTTTTTTTTTAATATTTTTTTTTTTTAAAAAATAATAATATTTATTTGTTATATTTTTTTATATATATTAATATAAAAAAAAATATTTTTATATTATTTTCATTTTTATTAATATTTTTTTTTGTTAAATTAATTTGATAATCAATAATTTTTTTTGTTTTACTTAATATATATAAAATATTAATTAAATAAAAATTTTATATATAATAATATATAAATAAATATTTATTATATTATATCTTTAAAAATTTTAAATAATTTTTATTATATATATTATACATATATATATATTTTGATATTTATTAAATGTTTAAAATATATATTAAAAAATATTTAATTCTGGGTTTTTCTATTAAATTTAATAAATTATATTATATTATTATAAAATTTATACATTTTAAAAATTTTATACTTTAAAAAATTAAAATTATTTAATATTTTAAAATTAAAATTTATATATATATATATATATTTATAATATATATATATATATATATATATATATATTATTTTTCATTTTAAATATATTATATTTTGTAAAATAAATTATGTAAAATATTCAAATTACTAATTATTTAAACCAAATATTTATAAGTAATCTTTTTTATTTGAAATTAATTAAATAACTTTTTTTTTAAATATAAATTAATATATTAAATTTTTTTTTTAATAAAATTATTTTTAAAATTTTAATTTAATATATTTAAATAAAATATAAATATAAATATATTTAACTATAAATGTTTTATAATATATATATATATATTACTATTATTTATAATAAATGAAAATCTTAATTATATTATTATTTTAATTAACTTTTGTTTTTTGTTTATATGTACTCTAACACTAATGTGTCCATGATTAAATGTAAAAATTTTATTCCTACAAAGTAATTTCATCTGATGATGATTATACATATATCCGTAATTTATAATCTAAAATGCCCCGTAATATGATTATAACTTACGATATGTCCTATTTCTCAAATTTACCTAAAAATCCTAAAAATTAATTGATAATCGATACTTGTGAGAAAGCTTTAAAAACAGCATTTAATTATTTTTCTGATCTAATAAAAATAGTTCCAAAATCTGAAAAGCAAATGAGATATAATTCCGATTATGAAAAATGTGGAGAAGTTATAATTCCTTAAATAGACAAAGATAAAGGAAAAGATTCTGATTTACATATATATGCATAATATCTAAATAATAAATAATTATCTTTTGTAGCCTTTGCTAGTAATTGTTAATTTCTGTATAAGGTAGGACCTTCTCATGGTTAAATTACTTTTAATTTGGGTTAATTAGAAGAAAAAAATTTAAATGAAAAATATATATTTTAAGATATATTAGAAATAGTTATCCATGAAATGACTCATGTTTTGGGTTTTTCAGAACATTCAATACCTTTATGGATATAATCTGATAAAAGTCTTTATCCTGAACCTACTTTAAAAAAAAAATTAAGGGGAATAGATACTTTATTTCTCAAAACGCCTAAAGTTTTGTAGTTTGCTCGAAAATATTTTAATTGTCCTGCCTTAACTGGTGTGCCTCTTGAAAATTTAGGAGGCCCAGGTTCTATAAATTCACATTGGAAAAACACAATAATCAATAGCGAATATATGAATTCATAATAATAATCTGTATAGTCATATTTTAGTGGTTTTACAGCCAATCTTTTAAGAGACACTGGCTTCTATGAGGAAATAAAAGAATCTATGGAGGAAGAAATATTCTATGGGAAAGCAGCAGGCTGTCAACACGTCACTGGTTAATGTAATTGTACTAAAAATGAGTTTTGTATTCCTACAAAAGATTAAAATTTATGTGATTTCTCCCATATTGGGGCTTCAATTTGTATTGCTGATTAATTTAATGAACCTAATTGTAATACACTTTAGGTTTATTAATATAAGGAATGCTGGAATATTTAAAATATGTAACACTCAGTATAAACACAATAAGTGTACGGAATTTAATATGGAGTTGATTCGAAATGTTTTAACTCTTCTTTAATAAAAGATACTTATTATGTGAATAATCGAAAAATTTAAGGTTTATGCTATAAATATAATTGTAGTTCTAACGGATAATTAGTGACTATTCATGTAGGAAAATAAACAGTTGTTTGCTCAAAAAATTTAGAAAATATGTAAGTTAAAGGATATGATGGAATTATTATATGCCCTAAAAATATACCGTAGTTTTGCAAATTTAAAAAAATTTGTCCGAATTTCTGTAGTTAAAACGGATATTGTCTAAATAATAAGTGTGTTTGTAATAAAGGATACTTTGGAAATGATTGCAGTTAAACAAAGCCTATATTAAAAGGATGATTTTTTAATATCTATAAAACAATGTTTTTTTTGTTAAGAATTAAAGTTCTAATTTTTAATTTATTTTTTTTTTAAAAAAAAGAATATAAAAAATTAAATAATATTATAATTTATTTAATAATTTTTTCATTTTTTTTAATATTTTTTTATTGTAATAAATAATTAAAAAGAAAAATATATATATAGAGATATTTATATAATTTAAAGAAGTATTAATTTAGATTTTTATGGTCTGATGCTACAGTAGTGATAAGAATATAAAAAAAAGCAAGAAAAATAAATAATATATAAATTTTCAAAACATATTGAAAATAAATATATAATTTTTTAAAAATAATATAATTTTAATATTTATCATTTTAATTATTAAAAGAAATATAATAAAATTTATAAAAAAAATAGATTAATTTATTAAATAAAAATTTAGAAAAAAAAATATACAATTTAAAGATTTCAGATATTATATTTTAAAAATTAATAAGAAATATTAAAAAATTTTAATAATAAATTCTAGATTAAAATTGTATAAAAATTGATATTCATATAAATTAAATTATGAATTAAATTTAAATATTTAAATTTTAAAAAAAAAAAATGATTTTAGAAATATAAAAAAAGCATGTTATATAATTAAATAAAAAAAAAAATTATATGTAAATAAATAAAATATTATTAATATATATATATATATATATATATATATATATCTATAAATATATATTTTAATTTATTTTCAAATCTATATATTAATTATTTATTATATTTATACCATTATTTGTATATATTTTTAATTAAACTTATTTTTAGAAATAACTTTAAATTTAAACAATTATGAAATTCCTACAGGTGCTTTAAAGACATAATTAGTAAAATTTACAACAAAAAATTTTTTTTTAAATTAGGGGGATATTATAAAAATATACATCTATAAATATTCTAGATATTCCTTATTTTATTTAAAAAAAAATAAAATTAAAATCTTCTAAAAAATACTTATATAGTTTTCTTGATTAACTGAGGCAGATATAATTGTTTAAAAAATTATAATTAAAAAAAAAATAAGAAAGCAAAATTTATTTATATCTTTATATATATAAATATATATATATATTTATATATTAATATATATATATTAATATTTATATAAAAATAATTATTTTTATTAATTTTTTTTATATTTTTTTTAAAAAAAAATAAATAAATAGAGAATGAGAATGAGAATTTTAAAAACTAGAAGAATAAGGATTTGATATTTATGAATTAAGAAATCCTTAAAAAAAAGTATCTTCTAAAAAATATTGAAAAAGAAGTCTAAGAGTTATATTCATAAAATGGAAATGAAATGAATACATAAATAGGAATTAGAGCAGTTGGAAGAGTAATTAGTTCTACATAATATGGTGGATTATGGATTAATGAAAAAAGGTATTTTTAATCTTTTTCATAATTATATATATATATTAATTTTTAGATGTTTAGTATGTTTAGAAAGTAAAGAAGTCAAAATTATCATTCTGCAGCGGAAGAAAGATTTTTATTTAGAGATAAAGGACTAAAACTTTGCTATAAATGCAGTAGACCTAGTCATATTGCAAGAGTTTTTAAATATAGAATGAATTGAGTATATATTATTTATATAAATTTATTATTTTTAATTTTTATGTAAAAAATAATAATTTGATATACGATTAATTGTATAAAAATACTTATATTATATATATATATATAATTATAAATTATGTTTAATACAGATATATTCAGTAAAATATTATTAATAATAAATAATGTGTTTTTTTTTTTATTAAAATATATATCTTAAATAGATAAAATTATAACTTTTAAATAAATAAAATATATTATAAATATATATTTTTAAATATATATATATATATATATATATATATATATATATATATCTTTATTTATTTGTAATATTAATTAAATAATTTATTATAAAAAACATATTCATATAATAATAATAAATAAATTAATATTTTTTACTTTATTATTATTATGTTTTATATATAAATTTTATATAAAACATAAATTTTTAATATATAATATTTTTATATTTTTTTATTATTATTTATCTTATTTTCATTTTATTTAATAATTCCTTACCTTTATATATTTATTTTTTATATTAAGCATATCCTTTAATTTTTTTATTTTATATTTTATTTTTATATATATATATTTAATATTTTTTTTTTTTTTATTTTATATATTTTTTTTAATTTTTAAAATTTTTATTTATATATTTATTTAACTTTTTATTTAATAAATAATTATTTTCCTATAATATTTAAAAATATTTATTTAATTATTAAAAATATATTTCATACACATTCATTCATTTTATTAAATAATTTTTTTTATATGAATATATACTTTTTACTATATTTTATTTCCATTGTATTTTTTTTTACTATTATAGTATTAAATAAATATTTTATTTATATAAACAAAATATTAAATAAGATTCTATAAAAAAAATATTTATACTAATATAGAATAGATAATTTTATTTTATATATATATCTCATTTATTCTTTTAATAATCTTTTATAAAAAATTTATTTTACATGTATATATGTTAATTAATTTAAAATATTTTTATCCGATTTAATATATTTATTAAAAAAAAATCAAAAAAGCATTTTAATTATTAATTTTGTAATTATTTCTTTTAAACCTCCTTAATTACTTTTATAATAATATATTTTAAGTATTTATAGATAAAAACACATTATAATAGCATATATAATTATTATATATATTAAATTTAATTTTTAAAACATATATATATATATATATATATGTAATATTTTATTTCATAAAACAAAATCTAACTATATATATATTTAAAAAAATTATAGATTAAACCTTATTTTTTTATATTTATATTTACTGCTTGCAAATTAACTTATTTATATAAATAAATGAATCTATATATTTGTTTCAAAGTCCCTATTTTATGCTATTATTTATGCTTAATAAATGCTAATTATTATATGCTTAATTATTAATAAACATATTTAATAAAATATTAAAATTTATTTTTATTCGTTTTTGATTTTTTTTCTCTTTAATGGCAAATTATCTTATATTTTATTTTTATTTTTAATTATTTTTTAATTTATACATAATTTTTTTATGCTTTATTTAAATATTAATTCTTTAAAACAAATACTATTTATAATAGATATATTATGGAAAATGACCCATATTTTAATGTTTATAGTATTAAATCGCAATATGAATGTTTGGAAAATTTATGGTAATATATATTTTTTAATTAAAAGACATTTCTTTTTATTTATATTATCTTGTATATATGTATTAAATATTTTTATATATTCTTTAATTTTTTTTTTTTAAAGACTATTACTCATATTTTTATTTTTTATATATATATAACGCAATATTAAACATTTTTTATAATTAATAAAAAGAATTTAAAAATAATAATTAATATATAATATAAATTATTAATAAAAAAAAATATATAATATTATTAAATATAATAAAATAAATATATATATATATAAGTTTTTATTTAAATAGAAAAAAAGAAATTTACGTAAGTACTTAATTTTAAAATTTATTACTTATTTTAATACTATAATGTCAATCAAAAAATCTGATATTAAAAATTTTTTATTAATTATCAAAATATAATTAATTTGATAAATAAAAAAATTTAAATTATATTTTATTTATTTATATATTTATTTATTTATTTATATATAAATAAATATAATATAATTATATATATATATATTATTATATATATTATATAAAAAATATTTTTTATTAATATTTATTATTTTTAAAAATTACTGAATTATTTAAAATATTAATACTATCAAATTATATATAAATTTATGTTTTGAATTTTTAATAAATTATTAAATAAGTTTATTATTAATTTGTTTTATATAATATAAAATAAAATATAATAATAATTTAAATATATATTTAAAAATATATTTTTATATATAATTATATTAATTTATATTTTAAATTATTTTTTATATTACAATATATAAAATAAATTACTTTTATGAATAATTAATAATAGATAAATATCTATTATTTATATGATATAATATCTATAAAAATTATATATAATATATTTTTAGTTTTTAATATAAATATTTATCAAATTTATCTTTTTATAATTTTATTTTTATATATAATTAATATATTTTTTTTTTTAATTTATAAAAGAAATAAAAAAAGAATTAACATTGTTTTTTTATAAAAAAAAACATATCTATAGTGAATATATAAACTAATTTATTTTTATTAATTTTATAAAAATATTATTTTTCTTTATTATTAATTATTATTGTAATAATTTAATTTTTTATAATAAATTATATATTTGTGATAATTATTAATTATTTAATTTTTATATTAAATAAAATTTATTAATTTTTTTTTTTATATACAAAATATAATTTACTAAAAATAATCTTAATTTATCATTTAAAAAAAAAAATTTATATATTGTATATATTTAAATAAACTAAATTAAATTGAATTATTATCTCCTTAAAATCAATAAGTTAGATAATTATAGAATATTTTTATTAAAAAATAACTAAAATAATTTTATTAAATATAATTATTTTACATATTTTTGATTAAATTTAATATATTTATTTAATTATATTTTTTTAATATAAATTAATATATTTTATTTTTATTTTTATATTGTTAAAAATTATATAATTTTAATTATAATTTTAATAATATCCTTAAATATTGCATTAAAATATAAATCTACTTAAATATTATAATAATCATAAATAAAATTCAATATTCAGTCCTTTCTATAAAAACAGAAATAAAAATAAATAAATAAAATAATATAATATTAATTAAAAAAAAAAAGTCATAAAAAATAAAAAAAATGAAAAAACTATTAATAATTATATTATTAACGAACTATATTTTCTGTCTAAAAGTTCTCTAACACAATTGTATACATAATAAGATTACTTAAATCTATAAATACGAAGCACTCGCTCCTTTAGAACCTGTAGATATTCGTAATTTAGGAAAGTTAACACCGCGCAATATGTTAATATCTTTCGATATGAATTATTTCTCAAAATTAGCTCCTTCTCCTTAGACTTAAATATTAGTTGATGCCTGCTCGAAAGCTATGTATTTGGCTGGTAAATATTTTCATAATTTAATAAAAATAATCCCAAAATCTGAATAAGAAATGAGATATAGATAATATAATCCAAAATGCGGTGAATATTCTATTCCTTAAAGCGACAGAGACTAAAGAATTAAGTCTGATTTACATATATATACATAATTTAAAATTGAACCAGCTGAACATATGTAGCCTATGCTTCTTGGTGTAAATTTTTGGATG